ACTTTTTGTTTCTTGATCAACTGCGAATCACATCCAAAGTAGCGACCTCAAGAAATTCTCCAACTTTTGTGGAGTGGACAAACGAGCATCTCTTCATAAATACTTTACATTTGTCTATATCCACCGATACTTCTTTGGTGAAGGGAGTATTTCTTTACCTTTCTTACACATTAAGGACAATGTGTTGTTTAGGTTTGGGGTGTAGAGAATGCATGCTTGAATTTATACTAACTTGGTGATGATACTTTGAGTTGAAATTTTGATGTGTGATAAAAATTTGTGCTAAATTTTTTTGATTTTTGTTGATTTTTTGTGATTGGATTATTGGCTCACGCTTAGAGTGAATTCAGTTTGGATGACTGTGGAGAAACTTCTTGTACTTGCTTCTAGTCCATGTTGAATTTGTGTGTGTTACACCTTAAACCCCTTGTGAATTTGATTGCATTTATAATGTCTAGTGGGGTGAAGGGTAGACTCCAAAGAACTAAACTAAATAACCATGTGGTGATCTTGCTTAAGGAAACATATTTGTCATCACAACTAGAGCGCTAAATGAAAGGGAGGGATAATTTCTTTGTGAACTCTCATGTACCTCATGACATCTCTTGCTTGGACCTAATTGTGTACTTCGATTTCCACCTTTATACATGACTTGACTCTAAACATATTTGTTCTTAAAAAGGAGTGTTACATTTCTTGAAACTTGAATTGGATGAGAATGTGCTTATTTGGTCACAAAAAAACCTAGTAAAGTGAGTCATAAATGAGCCTAAAAAGAGAGCATCACTAAATACTCTCGACTTTCCTTATTGAGTCTTCCTAATTGGTCACAAAAAGCCTAAAAAGAACTAAACTAAACTAACCATGTGGTGATCTTGCTTAAAGGAACATATTGTCATCACAACTAAAGTGCTAAATGAAAGGGAGAGATAATTTCTTTGTGAACTCTCATGTACCTCATGACATCTCTTGCTTGGACCTAGTTGTGTACTTCGATTTCCACCTCTATACATGACTTGAGTCTAAACATATTTGTGCTTAAAAAGGAGTGTTACATTTCTTGAAACTTGAATTGGATGAGAAAGTGATTATTTGGTCACATAAATCATAGTAAAGTGAGGCATAAATGAGCCTAAAAAGAGAGCATCACTAAATGCTCTCGACTTTCCTTATCAAGTCTTCCAAATTGAGTGTGTCTTCATTGTTTGCGAATTCTTGAACTTGTCTTGTTATACATTTCAAAATCATACGTGGTTTTATGCACAAAGATGATGAGGGCACCTAGGATTAACCACTTTTAGCTTGCGAAAAACACCGACCCTTATTATCCCCTAGTGAGCCAAGTTGAGTTTTTTGGCCTTTATTTTTCAATTTAACCTACTATATGTTTGTACATTTTCCCTATTTTGGCTTTCTCTTCATCCCTTTGAAAGTAATTTGAAATTTTGATATTAATGTGTGACGGTTGGGGGAATGAAATAGCATGTTGTTACTTGTAAATGTGTTGATATATTGGGAAAAAAAAGAAAAGAAAAAGTTCTTTGTAAAAAAAAAAAAAAAAGAGGGATAAATGAGAAAAAGCAAATTGTTGTGGAGCAAAGGAAACAAAATTGCTCTTGAACTTAAATGATGAAATTTCTCAAGTTTGGGGGTGTTTTGTGTGTAAAGTTGAAGTTTGGGGGAGTTAGGTTTCTAAGGTGATATGGTTTACATGTTCAAATTCCTTTGATATTTAGCCTTTGAAATCCTTTCTTTATCCCACATTAATGTCTCTAGCCCTATTACAACCTTTATTAAGACCTTTTATTTTGTGCATGAAACCATCCTACATGTGGCGAAATGATTCTCGGCAAGCCTATGAAAAGGCACTTTGATTGACTCTTTGAGTGAAAAGTTCCAAATTGAGCATAATGAATGAATCTATTGGAAAGGGTGACCAAAAGATTCCTGTTTGATGATTTCAATGACGATGGTTTTGAGAATCGTGTGACACTTGTATTTTCTTTGAACTTATTTCTTAACTAGACTCATTGATCATTGAGGTGGCAAAGTAAGTTCTTGAGTCCAAAAAGAGTGTGTAATGTACTTCTATCATGGAGTTTCGCGTTGGAACCTTTACATCTCATGAGAAGCTTATATGTGATGCATTTTGTGGAAGCCATTGCACCTATTGTGGAGTTGTGGAGTTGTGGAGTTTATTACTTTTAGAGGTGCCAGTAAACCACATTGTCATTTTGATAATTTATGAATCATGTGGTGTTGAAGTAGAGTGATGGAATTTGTTCCCAAGTTCCAATATGTGGAAGTGCATTTGCTTGTTTGGTTGGATGAAATGTGCTAGCATAAAATAGATGAGTCTTTGCTTGACATGTGAAATTTTGAGTTTGAATGTTAAAATGTATATTTGTTTTGGACGAACAAAAGTTTAAGTTTGGGGTGCTGATGTGAATCAAATATACATGTATTTATATGCTATTTCACATATCTTTTACTCTTATTTGGGACTAATCTAGATGGTTTTAATTGTAATAAAAGCCAATTCTTATTTGTTTGTAGTTCATCATTGTAGAGTGACTAAATAGCATGAAAATGAAGAGAACCAATAAAAAACGCCAAGAATGCACTAGTGTTGAACAATGACCAGCAGTCAATTTCCGGAGAACATAACTAGAGATCCGTTCCTCAGAACTTAAAGTTCTTGATGTTGTTAAGAAGCCCTATGTGTGATCTACAACTGTCGTGAAGAAAGATTCTGCAAAATCTGGCGCTTTGATGGTCAAATCTGTAGTTGAAATTCATGTGTCAGAACTAAAGAAAAAGACTTGCAGAATTTCAGCAATAGCAAGTCATTTTCCGGAGGCTCTAACTGCACATTCGTAGCTCTGATTGGTGATTTCCTTTTATGGATACGAAGCTGAAAGAGAGAGCTACGATGTCATGTTCAATACTTCTTCAAACTCAGATGATAAAGGGATAAAAAATGCAGTTGAAGTCCTTTCATCAGAACTGTCCAGAAAGGTTCCAGAAAATCTGAGAAAATAAGCTTTGTTCCCGAGGCCATAACTTGATGTCTATAGCTTGGATTGGGATGTTCCTTATATCGTTGTGAAACTTAGAAAGCCAGCTACGACTTCTCTTCAGATATCAACTCCAAATTTCAGCTGCAAGTGATTGGAAAACTGCAATGAAAATTGAAATCTGGAATTCCAGCAAACACTTGAATCGGCAGCCATGAGCCGTCCTTAATATGGGCTGAAATTCAATCGGAGAACCATGGAAATTTAGGGGAAAGATGATCAGAGAAGGAAAGAGTCGATTGCCAGTGATCTCATCAGAGGAATAAAGCCTAATCGACGGCAACCGGAGACTACGCCGGCGAAAGAGAGAAGAAATCGCATCAGAAGCAGGTGCTCAAATTCGAGAAAACTCCAGGAGTGAAGCCAAAGAATACAAAGATCCAGCCCACAGGAATGTTATGGCGTTGATTTCTAAAAGATTTGGCTTCTGAAATTGGTTAAACAATCAACGGAGGAGCGGAAACCGGCGAAGTCGTCGTCGGGGCAAGATTTTCTGGCGTGAGAGAAAGAAAAGAAAGTTTTGTAATTACAAATTGATCCCTCCTTGAAGGCTTATTTTCTCCACTAGGCCTCATATTTTAAAAGCTACAAAGCTTCTTCAAGGTCAGCCCAAGACTTCAGTATATTGCTGTTTCTGCCCCGATTCCAAGGATTTTAGTTTCGAAGAAAGTTCAATTAGGCTTTGCCATTTGTCTACTTATTCATTTAAGTCCATCCGGCCCAAATCTTACTATATATTAAGGGAATTTTTTTCAAAAGACACATGTCAGTTAATTACACCATCAATAATTTTCAAGTACACATGTCATATTTTTATTCGTTGAGAATTTTTTTAAGACACATGTCATCTTTTAATTCGTGGGTATTTTTACTGGTTATTTTATACAAGTAACATGGTTATTTTAAACAATGTAAAATAGTTATTTTCTAAACGAATAACTTTCTTCAGAAGATTGACGCCAACAATCGAATAAAATTAACCAGGACAATGAATTTCGAATTTCGCAAAGAAGAACATCGACAACGATAATGATTGGCGATGTTCCTTCCTCAAATTGACGCCAATAATCTCTGAATAATCAAATTGACTGGAAAATTATTTCCGGCCACAAAGATCTCCGGACACGCCAATTAAAAATTTGACGTCATCACTGTCAGGAATTCGTTGTCCCTCCCCGAACGTTGCCCCAAATATATATTTTCCGAGCATCAGCTTTTTTGAGCGATCAATTCAGCGACGGATCCTTCATTTCTTTGGCCGACAATACCAAAGATGACAACTTGCGAAAACAAAATTTTAAAGATTGATATAAAACAAATCATAAATAATTCGGAGGGGCTGAAAGGTGGGATGAAGTGGTGGCTTGTGAGTTGTGGTGACTTTTTTTTTTTTTTTGCTTCAGATTGGGAGAATTTTTGAGTAGACGTGCTCCAAGGGAAAGGAAAAAAAAAAAGAAAAATGAGAAGACAGAGTCAAAGCACGATTATGAGGGAGAAAAAAAAGGAGTAATTCTCATGTTTATCATAAATTTTTCAGATTCAAAATTTCAAAACACTAGAGGATATCTACTACAATTAATATAATTATCAAATCTAATAATACTTAAAAGAAAATTTTCACAAGTAAAAACTACTCTCCACATGATCATAATTTAGGGAATTTCAAATTTTAAAATCAGTTTATACATGGAAAATATACGAATCCTAATAAACAAAAGGGCAAATTGGCAAATTATATGGTACACCCGGGGGTACGGTGTTCCCCCATGCGCGTGTACCTCACTCTCTTACAATAGCGTTAGTGCGCCATTATAATTCAGCTTTCTTTTTCTTTTTTTCTTTTTTTTTTAAACACGGGGATATATAAATAACCGAATTCATTCAAATTTGTAAAACTTTGTGATGGAGTATTATTGATGGGAGATGGCCGGCGATGATCGAGGCGTTGAGGCGGCAATGGGAGTCGGCGATCGTGGCGTTGAGGTGGACACGGCCGGCGGCGATCGAGTCGTTGAAACGGCGACGGCGTTCAGCGATCGAGGAAAGGCTCCGATTCCACCAGAGTGGCGAAACGGTGATTGGATCGACAATATGCTTAGTTCAGATCGAGTGATGAGTTATGTCGTTAATGATTCCGTCTTGATGAATGCGGAATGTAGTGGTATAAAATCCATCGAACAACCTTGGTGTGCCAGTAAATCAACGCAAGGTCACAGTTCTGTTGTAGATCAGCTGGAATCAGGTAATCAATCAAGTTTTTTTCACAGTTCTATTTTTGTTAATATGAACTGGATAAGCAGTTATGCTGTATTGATATCCAAAATGTTTTTACCGGATATCCACTTTGTTTGTGCTGGATATCCAGCTTATGTGTACTAGTTATCCAACTGATACACATGCGTATCCAAATTTTATTTGCTGGATATCCAACATTTTTGAGTTGTTTATATTGAATTGGTGTTTTTTCACAGTTCGGAGTGTACTGTTTGTGAGAGAATAATCAATCTAGTTTTTCACAGTTCTATTTTTGTTAATGTTGTATGAAGTGGATAAGCAGTTATGCTGTGTTGGATATCCAAAATGTTTGTACTGGATATCCACTTTGTTTGTGCTTGACATCCAGCTTATGTCTACTGGTTATCCAACTGATTTACATGCATATCCAAATTTTATTTGCTGGATATCCAGCTGATTTTTTGTTTTTTTGTTTGTCTCATTTTTTGTAAAAAAGCATATCAATGAGTTGGGGGATGATGTGATGCTGGATGATGCTTTGTGCATGGAAGTTACATCTGCTCTGAAGGGTGGGTTTTCTAACTTGCTTATATGTGTTTAAATTTTTTTTTCTGATTTGTTTATCCAGTGTTAACACTGATTATCCGACTGCATGGTAATGGTTATCCAACCATCTCTTTTGTTTTTTCTCAGAATGTGGAGAAGATAATAGCGGCAATGAATTGAGAGTTGATAATGTGATGTTGGAGGAGGATGCCTTGCACAAGGAAATTTCATCTGTGACGAAGAATAATGATTTGGCTGTTTTTACTTTAGTTGGTAAGACGGCAAGAAGTGAGAAAGAAGCTTATGATTTGTATAATGATCATGTCTGATTGATTGGTTTTAGTGTGAGAGTGGGAAAACAGAAGTTTAGAGGTAAGACTGATAAAGTTAGGATGAAGAAGTTCTGTTGTAACCGCGAAGGATACAAGAGATCCAGTGGAAATGGTGATGTGTGCCATGAGAGGGTTAATTTTCGGTGTGGGTGTCCAGCTTATATCCACCTTACTGTTGACAAAGATGGCTTGTGGACCTGTACAAAGCATCTGGTTGATCACAATCATGATCTTGTGCCGAATGAAATGATTGGACTTCTTCAATCTCAACGTGAAGTAGATGAAAATGATATGAAGATAATCAGAGACGTGACAAGGAGTGGCATCCCTTTGGTTGATGCATTTAAGTTTGTGGCAAAATTACACGAGGGAAGTCTGAACATGAAATATACTTTGAGAGATGCCTACAATTATGAGCGTCCTGGTGTTGGATTTGAAGGTGGTGATTGTAATCAGCTCATGAAGATTTTTTGGGACAGGAAGGAAACTGAAGAAGATTTCTTCTTTGATTTTGAGTGTGATGAGCAAGGTAGGCTGTGTATTTTCTTCTGGAGGAATGGCAGAATGCGAAAGGATTATAATTTGTTTGGTGACTTGCTTGTGTTTGATACAACGTATCGAACAAAGAGATATGGGATGATCTGTGCTCCATTTGTGGGTATGGATAATCATAACAAGAATGTCATGTTTGGTTGTGGTTTTGTGTTAAACGAGAAAGAACCCTCTTTTGATTGGTTGTTCAAGCAGTTTTTGAAATCAATGGGAGATAAACAGCCACAAACCATAATGACAGATCAAGCACCTTCCATTGCTGCAAGTATTGGGACATGTTTTCCAAGTTCTCGGCATCATCTCTATGTATGGCACATAGGTAAAAATTCAAGAAAGCGAATTGGTCATTTAAGGAACAAGCCAGATTTTGTTAAGAACTTTAATTATCTGATGAAATACACTTCAACAGAAATCGAGTTCGAGATATTATGGAGGAGGTCAGTTTGACAATATTTTTATTATTATTTTGATCATTTCCATGATTAAGAGTGTCTCTTATTTTTTTTGTTGTGTGGGTATGTGTTTGTTAGTGGTCATGCATGATCTTCCTGATGATTACTTATAGGTAGGTATGTTGTGTGGTAGGTACATTATAGAAGCACAACTAAAAAAAGGCATGGATAACTAGTTTACAGATTGTGGATAACCACCCATAATGTTCGGATGACTAGTTTACAGATTCTGGAAAACCAGCAACTATGGTTGGATAAATAGTTTTTAGCCATTCTGGATAACTAGTTTACACATTGTGGATAACCTGCAATTATCTCTGGATAACCACCCGTTATGGCTGGATAACCAGTAGAAAGGCTTTCTTGGCTGGATAACTATATAGATAATCTAACTATTTTTCTTTTTATGCATGTTTTTTATATTGTTGTGCACAGATTATTGGATAAGTATGATTGTCATGATGACAAATGGCTCAGTGGTATTTATGATGTGAGGCATATGTGGTGCCCTGCATTTAGCAAAGATTTTTTTTCTGGTGGTACCTTGTCTTCACAGAGGAGTGAGTCAACAAATAATGCAATTTGTCGTAAAATGAAGGCCACATCATCGCTTTGTGATTTCCATGAAATTTTCTCTGATGTTGTACACTGTTGGCGGGTAGCTGTGAGGGGTGAAGATCTACGTTGTAGCCAGGGAGACATCAATTCATATCTTCCCGGTGACCCTTTCCTAGAGAGCATTCGCAGAGTGTACACAGTTGAAGCATTCCGGGAGGTTCAGCAGTTGCACAGAGATGGGATGTTGTGCAGGCAGGAGCAGTTAGAGGTCTCAAATGATGGCAATACTGTGACGTAACTTGTTTGGCGGTTTGGGATAGAGCACTTTAAGCATGTGGTTGTACATGACACTAGGTTACAGAGATTCTCATGCACATGCAGGTACTACTCTGAGGTGGGCATGCTTTGTTGCCACATTCTTCGAATCTGTCACGTAACCTCTGTTGATGAGTTTCCTGAAGATTATATATGTATGAGATAGACAAAAGGTTATGGTGCCAAGTCAAGCATAGCTAATGAGGGAGATGGAAAAGCTGCTAGGCCATTGCTGTGGAAGGCACTAATTATGAGACGATTTTCAGACTTGGTGTATGCAAGTGAATATAACAAAGATGCAAAGAAATGTTGTGACGAGGCTGTTGACAGGCTTAAAGAAGAACTCGGCAGTTTCATTGGTTCAAATAATAATGATGAGTCTGTAGACAATGATGGTGTTATAAAGAATCCGGCTATAAAGAGGAAGAAGTTTGGTCCCAGGAACGAACGTCCTAAAAGCATTCTTGAGAAGGCATGTAACAAAGTCAGAGGCAGGAAAACAAATGCAAGAATTGCTGCAGACCGAACAAGAGCTTCAGTTGCATCAAACCTGCATTATCAAAGCATGCCATTTCCTTATCCAAAGGGAGTTGCTCAACATTTTACAGGCTCAGGAAGTTTTGCTGCTGTGAATGCTTCCCATCAAAGCATGCCATCTTTGAGCGTAAATTCCGGTGGATTCTCATTTGCTAATCCAAGCGTAGCTGCCCAGCATTTTTCATGGGCATGGGCTTTCACTTCTGTGAATGCTTCTGATCAAAGCATGCCATTCATCAACCAAAATTCCGGTGAATTCTCATTTCCAATTCCCAAGGGAGCTAGCCAGGAGTTTCAAGGTGAAAGCACTTTCGCTGCTGTGAATCCTTCTCATCAAAACATGACATTCATGAATGAAAACTTTGGTGGTTTCTCATTTCCTAACCGAAGGGAAGCTTCTAGGGAGGCTGGAGCGCAGCGTTTCTTCAACTAGATATTTTATTAGTATTTTAACATGATGTTGAAATGAACAGTATTGATGGCGTAAAGATTTTTATTGAAAAAGTATTATTTGTTTTAAATTGCAGTATTATACAACCAGTTTTAACTGGTTATCCATTTTGTTTGTACTGGTTATCCAAGTGGTTATTTTAAAGTGGTTATCCGTTGTGTTCATGGTGATTATCCAACCAGTTTGAACTGGTTATCCAAGTTGTTTGTACTGGATATCCATTTTGTTTGTGGTGGATATCTAACTCGCCTGTACCGGATATGCAACTTTAAATGCATATAGATATTACAAAAAAACACATGAACACGTTGAACACAGATAACAAGTATAATCTTATGGATAATCAGGTTAAAGACTGTACTTGCATTTTTTTTGACTGGATAATCACTATAAAACATTCGGATAACTGGTACAATGATCATGGATAACCATTACAAACGGTTGGATATTGCTACACATTGGCTGGATAACCAGTACAAAAGTCCTGGATAAGCAAGATAACATCATAGGATAAGCAGTTTAATAAAGAAGTAGAAAGACCAAGAAATTGAGACACAGTTTTTGTTTTCTGGGAAATTTACAGAAATATTTGGACAACCAAAATACATTGGATAACCAGCATAGATAATCTGGATAATTAGTACAAAGTCCTGAGATAACCAGTAATATCATTAGATAACCAGTACAAAGTCCTAAAATTGTGTTAATGTTTCCCAGAAGTAACATGCTCTAATGATGAAACTGGTTTCTAGATCCGGCGATATACTTGAGTGTGTGATTTTCCTGGTAGGATTACTATACAAGAACAAATGACGATTATCGTATCCTTTGACAATGAACTGTCCCACTGGAGATGATTTGTGGCTTAAGAACACTGGATAAAGCCAATCATGACGGAAATGTAATCCGTGTGGAACGTATGTGTTCACATTTGGGAATTCATGGGTCTCAAATATGCAATCCCATGTTGAAGTATCTGGATCCCATGCCCACATCTCACAGTGATGATTCTGAGTAATCTCGTACTCATCTATTACACACATAGTCCCCTGGAAGTCCAATATTTTCACTTGGAGATTCATATGAGAAGGATAAGTGGGGTTAAAGAAGGTTGGAGATGGAGGGCAATTTATGGTTTGGAATTGTTGAGTGTGGTAGTCAAACACAACCAACAACTCTTGAGGTGTTGCTATTTCAGAGGATAGTTTGTCTACACACCAATACACGAATCTATCAAACCAGGTTCCATCAGATACAAGGAGAGGACATACATTGCAAAGTGTTTTCCATTCCCCTCTATGAATACTTGAACAACTTTGAAAAGAAAAAATGCAGCCTTGCATGTTTTTTCCATCGGCAATTAGGGCCATGAAAACGTAAGTTTTTGAGGATGATACGTACCCAAATGCTGTTTTACAATTGCTGAGAGTGACATCATATGGCCATTCAACTGTTGCAAGTTGTGTTGTCTTTGGGTTCAAGAATTTGATTTGAGTGGTTTGCAGACAGATCAAATCTGTGGTGATAGGCATGATTTTATGGATGCCGTCGTCACCCATCAACATCTCTTCTTGAAATCGTATGTTGTTGCATGGGTTATCCATTTGCACTTTTATGTTGGTGGCAATTAGTTTGTCTTGCAACAGGTGATCTTCTTGGCTTGTTTGAGTGAAAACAAGGATGTAATTTTCACTTGCAGGGTAGCTCATCTCACGTTTTTTAAGAACAAATTCCTGTCTTTTCGTCATTTCCTCCCAAGCTTTGCTGACAGGACGGAACAGTCCAATCTTTTCCAATGACAGATTAATGAACATATTATCAAGCATATCGTGATGGATATATTCATGATAGCTGGGGGACATTTGTTTGGTGGTGGAATTTGAGGAAATTTTTTCGTTTTTCATTTTTTTCTGGCTGTTGGATGTTTTGGATGCTCAAATCAGACGTTCTGGTGTATGTGCAGATGAAGGAGTTTTAGCCCCAGGTGCAGATCAAGAAACTCATTTAATGACAGTTATGTAAAAACGTGTGGCTCTGTAACTACCCATTAAATCACGGTGGATGTACTCTGCACGAACACGAGCATTTTCAGTCTTTTTTTTTATTTATACTCCCTCAATCTTTTAAATTCTATTTAATTACAGAACGTGTGGTTTTCAGTTATACATAGTAACATGTTCCACACTATGGATAACCAGTATGGACATAGTGGATAACCACTGTTGATTATCCTTAAATGAGTTACATAACTGGCTGGATAACCAGTACAAAATTCCTGGATAACCAATACAAAAGTTCTAGATAATTAATTCAGAGCATTGGATAATGAGCAAAGAATAAAAACAAAGTGAATTTTACTGTGGATAACCACTATGGATAACCAGCATTTTTTCATAGTCACCACCATCATACTTCTCCATGTGGTGCATTGTGAATATTCCACAATCTTCCGCATTCGGCTTTTTGTCGTTGTGTGATGGTAGCGTAACCTCTGTGAAGGTGTACTGAGCAGTGACTAGTTCTATGTTTGGAAACACACATTGAAGGTACATTTTAAAGAACTGAAACTGTGATGCCATAAAATCCAAGGATCAGCAAAATGCAATGGATAATTCTTAAAGTATGACAATCATTTTGTATCTTTTTTTTGCTCACAAGTAGATCTTTTGTTGGCTTGTAGTAGTCCAGATCTTTTGCATGAAGATTGTTGAATGCAAGGACTTTCATTTCTTGAACCAGCAACACATACAAGAAATAATGCTCTCGGTAGTGTACTGGGAAGTAGATCTGATTTTTCACATTGAAAGGGGAAATCATAAGAAAATTTTTTAACAGCCAGTTATAGAAAGAGTGAAGGAGGTGAAAGATGTTGCTTACGGCTTTTGCCACTATCAAGGATCCTACACTGAGTCCTTGTTCTTCTAGTTCAAGAGCCAACCTCTCATAGAACGTGAACTCGATTTCCTCTTTGTTACTACCCTGTTGATAGTAGCGACTGATTGTATTCTGCGTTATTGTTTAAGATGGTTGGAAAATGATATAATGATCAGTACAATGGTTGGAAAATGCAGTAGAAAACAATGATCGGAATCAAGCACATACAAGATCAACCAAAAGTACCCAAGATGACAAACAAGAATGAATGGATAACCAGTTGAACTCTGATGGACAAACATTAGTAACAAACTGGATAATAAGTGTTAGTGGTCATGCATGATCTTCCTGATGATTACTTATTGGTAGGTCAGTTATACAACAATGATGGATAACCAGCAAAATAATGTATGGACAAGCAGCCGCATAGAAGCACAACTAAAAAAATGGCATGGATAACTAGTTTACAGAATGTGGATAACCAGCAATTATGGCTGGATAACTAGTTTACAGAATGTGGATAACCAGCCGTTATGGCTAGATAACTAGTGGAAAGCCTTTGGATAAACAACTTGCAGACATGTGACAAGTATTTTACTAGGAGTGGATAAACAATAATGGTTTAGTTGACTTACAAATACGAAAACACCAAAGAATATCCGACTTGGGGAGTCACTTTTAGCTTCTTCTTTGTTTAGGATGACAGCCCAAGCATCTATGATGCTGTTTTCTATCCATGTGCCTTCCCTCATGGAATAGAATGCTGTCCTGTCTGCCCAAACAATTTTTCCAAATTCAAACAAGAAATTCCTGCATAGAAAAAGTAGTCAAATAAACAAATAGTTGGAAAACTGGTAAGTTTTTTATCGCACGGGTAAGGATGATGGCTTTTACCCTGATTTAACTATTTCTTCTTGTCTCTGCAAGAGAGCGAAGTCTATCAACAGGGCTTCTTCTTCGGTCATTTTCTTCTTCTCCTCTGTCAACTGTATGAATTTTTTCTTGTTTTTCTTCTGCAGCATGAACGGCGACCTGAACCGTTCGGGCAACCGGTGGATTCTTGGTGGATTTCTCCTCCTAGGTTTTTGATTGAGGATCCTAGGACAAAACAAAAGAGAGTTAGTATGTAAATTCGTCGTTCTATTTTGTTGTGAGCATTCACAGTGGATCAAACTCACTTTTCCACTGTCTTTGTTAACCCTTCATCAAGTACTTCAGCTTTCTTTGAGATTGCAGGCGATGGCGTGGTACACTCATTTTTGTCCAGCATGAGTAGACGACCCGTGGTAGAAGCAACATTCCAATCGGGTGGAATTATGCTTAAAGGGACTGCTTCAACCATCTCTGAGTTTTTCTCAACTTGTTCTGCAACAGTCGCAATGATCTCTAGTTTTTCTGTATCACTCGACGACTCTGAAGCTGGTGCACTGGCCCTTGTTATAATTTCATCGATGGAAGGAATGAGATTCTTTGTTTCGTCGAGAGCAGATGGTACTGGATATTCTTCTGCTTCTATAGTCTCATTCACATCTTTATCCAGATCAACCCTTACTGTGACATCTTCCTGAGTGTTCTTCTCCTGGGTTGTCTCGTAACTGTCTTCCTGACTGGAGAAGATACCCAGGTTAAAGCTTGGGATACTTGCTTCTTTCAATGCTTTCCTTTTCCTGGTACCAGTGCTTCTCGTCCTTTTGGTATAGGTGGATGTCACAGCTGAATCCCACCCGGTGGAATCTTGATGGGATCTCTTCTTTTCTGTCGTGGAGACATTCGTTGCATGTTCTGCAGTGCAAAGTTGGAATGTTGGATAATCAGTACGAAGGTACATATATATTAGACACATTGGATAACCTGTTCAAAGGAAGTGGATAATCAGCCGGAACACAATGGATAACCATCTAAAGGGATAAAAAGGGGTTGGATAAGCAGTACAAATTAGTTGGATGACAAGTACAATCACATCAGACAAGTATTTGTTTCATTACCTTGTGGTTGAGTTTGTTGTTCATCAACCAGCACTTCTTTTGAAGTAGGCACGAATTTCCCCACTGGAAGAGAATTCTCATCATTTGTCTAGCTCAATTGATCCAGTCCCTGTGCCCCTTGTAGTTGAGTTTGTGGTTCATCAACCACCACTTCTTTTGAAGTAGGCACAGATTTCCCCACTGCAATAGAAGCCTCATCATTTGTCTGGCTCAATTGCTCCAGTCCCTGTGCTTTGTCAATTTCAATGTCTTGAAATTTTGCGAGATTAATTGGAGCTTCTACAGTGTTGTCATCAGTTTGTTGGTGTTGCTGTTGTTCTTGTTGGTCAGCTACTTATCGTTGCAGCTGTTCTATGATTGTTGCAAATCTGCTTTCAGCGGACTTCCATGCCATCTCGCACAATTCACAAATCTGTGCATCCTGGAGGTCTTGCTGGTGTTGCTGCTGCTCTTGTTCCAGTTGCATTGTACCTGAAGGCGGAGGCATCTTTCTACTCATCGACAACATTGCATCTGATAGGATCTTGATTATTTGCTTTGCTTGTTCATCTGGTTCGATTCTTAACTCCATTTCCTTCTCACGAATGTCTAAAACAGTTTTGCTCATCGTGATATCAATTGGTAGAATTTTTCATAAATAGCGGCAAGGTCCTGCAAAATTGAATGTAGTTAGTGGAATGTGGAGATGCTAGGTTGGATACGTAAGTTTGATCTGAAAAAAAGTGGTAGAACAGTACATACTTGCTGTGTGTTGGGGTTTCCCTGTGTATCCTCCTTTTGTGATTCAGCCTCTGGTTGTTCATCTCGGGATGCTGCTGAGGACAGTTTCTTGAGACGTTCAAGTGTCTGGATATCTGTGAAATTGCTTTCCTGAAGTCTTATTCTGTCGTTCAGCATCTTTTGATCCCAAGATTTGATCACATGGAATGACCTCGGATGTGCTCTTTCATACTCACACCTGTCAAGGTAGCACAACTAACAAAAAAAAAAGAAAAAAAAAGAAAAAAAAGTTGGTGTTAATGATATCACTACAAGCAGTACAAATTAGACAGATTGGATAACCAGTTCAAATGAAGTGGATAATGAGTTCAAATAGGCTGGATAACCGGCAGGAACACAATGGATAACCATTTAAAGGGGAAAAAGAGGGTTGGACAAGCAGTACAAATTAGACAGATTGGATAACCAGTTCAAATGAAGTGGATAATGAGTTCAAATAGGCTGGATAACCGGCAGGAACACAATGGATAACCATTTAAAGGGGAAAAAGAGGGTTGGACAAGCAGTACAAATTAGACAGATTGGATAACCAGTTCAAATGAAGTGGATAATGAGTTCAAATAGGCTGGATAACCGGCAGGAACACAATGGATAACCATTTAAAGGGGAAAAAGAGGGTTGGACAAGTAGTACAAATTAGTTGGATGACAAGTACAATCACATTAGACAAGTACAAGCAAATTGGATAAACATTGCAAGCAATATGGATAACTAGTAAAATTTGTACGGATATGGTAAGTACCAGGAAAAAAGTGATTGGTCCGGTGAATGGTTTCCCATCGTGGTGACTTTTGCATCCTTTCACCAGTGCATCAATCATATATTGACACCAATTGTATTGTGTCACTTCATTGATGTTCACGAGGGACTTTAGGATGTTCATTGTGATCCTGGAAGTGGTGTTTCCATGTAGGAATGTGCTCACAACAAAGACGAGGAAATATCGTTTGAAGTCATCACCAAAATCTTTTCGACCAGCAATTAATTGTGCCGCGGTGGATCTCATTGGCAGGAATTTATTACTGTATCCCATTCTTTTCTTGAACGCATCCACCATCTCAGCGTGGTCCGTTATAGCGGGATCATTCTGTTTGAATTCTTCCACTGGTTTGGGTCCACGAGGAAGATCAAGTACAGCAACAACATCTTCCTGTTTGATATCCAGTACATTGTTCCCATTCAATGGGACTTGTCTTGCACCGGTCTGGAAATTGCTTGCCAGAAAATTACACAAGGCTGTTGGAATATTTTTGATTTTGAGATCTAGTAAGGCGCCAAATCCCATATCTCTGATAGCCTGCCTTTGTAGTTGGCGATAATTTATCGTATCTGGCTCTTTTGTAAGATCTGTTGGTTTATTGATTTCAGTGATGAGTAGAAAGAGATGGTTCGGTGTCATCCTTGTCTCAAATTTCTTCACAGAATCTTCAGAACTGATTGGCCGTGGATCTTGACCAATCAGTTTGTTGTTCTCAGGTTTCATTGTTTTCTTTTTGGGCTTTTTATCATCGTTGTCATCAGCAACCACAAGTTGCTTTGGATTTCCTGTCGGTGTGCTCTTCTTCCTCTTTTGTTTTCTCCACAAGTTTTGGGTCCTTGGAGTTTGTACAGGGGACTGTTCTTCTTGGGTTGATTTTTGTTTTTTATATAGGGTCAGTGTTCCTTCAGGGAGCTCCATTATTTTCTCTGGTTCAGGATCCGGTGATCTGTCTGGGTTGCAGTTGAGGTCGTGGCTTGCGCTGATCCACTCGTGCCTATATTTTGTCCTAAATTCCTTTAGGGCACTGTTGGCATTGTACAATTAGTAAGAAGTCAGTGGACAAAATAGCAGGATATGAAAAGGAGTAGTAATCAAAAAAGGAGTAACCAGTATGAAATGGATGGATAACCAGCAAATAATGTATGGACATGTAGCCAGATAAAAGCACATCTAAAAAAAAACAATGGATAACCAGTTTACTCACTTCGGATAACCAAGTTAAAATGGGTGGATAACCAGAAACAAAGTTTGGACAAGCACCACATAAAATCAAATGTTAAAAAAGCATGGATAACCAGTTCACAACATGTGGATAACCAGTTTACCACTTGTGGATAACCAGTATGAAATGGTTGGATAACCAACAAATAATGTATGGACGTAGCCACATAAAAGCACATCTAAAAAAAACAATGGATAACCAGTTTACACCATGCGGATAACAAATATTTAATGGATGGATAACCAAAAACAAAGTTTGGACAAGCACCCCTAAACCCTGAACCCTAAACCAATAACAAAAAAAAACACAAAAACATGGATAACCAGTTCTGTTTGTCCATGCCACATAGAATAAAATGTAAAAAAAAGCATGGATAACCAGTTTACAACTTGTGAATAACCACTTTACAACTTCTGGATAACCACTCTACAACTTGTGGATAACCATAATGAAATAGGTGGATAACAAATGTCAGTATGACATAGATGGATAACCAGAGATTATGGCATGGACAACGATCACATAGCATACGCAGGAAACCATGGATAAATAGTTCAGATCTAGTGGATACACACAAGATATTGCTGGATAATCAAAAAAATAGGATCCTGGAGTAATATACTTACCATTCAAGCATGTATAGATGAAGGAGAGCTTGAGATGGCCGGACGTAGGGTTTCTCGCCGTCGTCTGTGTGTGTGTGTGGGTTTGCCCTAAATTGGAGAGTTTCCGTCGACTATGTGTTTGTGTGTGTTTATGCGTGAGGATAAAATTGATGAAAATAACTTTCTGTGTACATTTAATGTAAAGGTAAAAATAGTTGAGCGCGTGGTGCGTGTGTGTTTGGTGGGAGGGGGGTATACGGTACACCCGGGTGCACTGGATACGGACTCAACAAAAGATAATTCAAATCAAATAGAATATATTCCTTTTGAACAAAATTGACCATATCACAGCAAATTCAAATCCATTTCTACCGATATATTATTTTGTAATCAGTTAGCTATAAATACCGGTTGTGCAAACAGCAACACGTGAATTTTTTTTTTCCTGCCATTTAGATTATTAAAGAGAAAAAAACACGGATATCCGTGGGTTATTATTTATCCATTTAGATTTTAATTAAGAAAAAAATAGAAGAATAATTAATGACTTACGAATCAGTCCCTAAAAGGCTTTCTCCTCTATCTCCGAAGTTTCTCTCTCGCCGAATTCGTATCATTGTGAATGAAGGTGATGATTCTCAATCTCACTCATCTAATTTCTTACTTTTTTTTGGGGGGTTTCTTTTTGCAGAAAAAATTCTGATCCCCCAACGGTTGTCCCGGACAAATTTTGGTTGATTACAGCTTGGTTAATACCATGACTTCTGATCTTCCGAAGAACATCGACGATGCTGCCATAAAATTTTTTCCCGCTATTTGGTCTGGACTCTGGACCAAATCGAGATTACTCCAATCAATGCAATATCGGCAAAAATTGATCTTTCCTAAAAGATTACGTTGATGCTACATATAACTTCTCGCCGAAATTTATTCTACTGGAATAAGATTGTTCCATTTCCGGCATAGCGAGAGCTAATGTGAATGGGTGTAGGGCAGTGATGATGGAGAAGGCTTTGAGGCATGGGTTTTTTTAGCATGGAAAGATGGTCACGTGAAGTTGGGTGGTGGTGATAATGGAGACGATAGTTTTTGTGAAGAGGTGATTGGTCATGGGCTAAGAGGACAAAAGGGTTAAGGGGTGTTGTTGATGACGATGAAGGTTCCTTTTTCTTTTTTCTTTTTTTTTCCTTTTTTTTATTTTGTTTTTGGGTGAAAAAAGATCATTATGAAATGAGTAGTATTGATTTGGTGGGAATATGTTTAAATAAATTCCATGATGATTACTAATTTTCCGATACGAACTTTACAACTTTTTTTGTTTTAGAAAAAACAGACTCATTTTTTTTGATCAAAAAACAGATTTCATTCTTTTTGTCAATGATTTATGAAAATATGAATATTTTGTGCTCTTTATTTTTTTGTTTTTGCAAAAAAAAACTTGCTCTTTTTACACAATTAACATAACGTGTATAATTTATAGAAAAACTATGATGGAACGATCTAGATGTTTTTAGAATGAACAACTATTAATGAGCACGATCATCAATGACGGGAATGTATTGTTTAAAATCTTTATATTTTTGGGGGAATTTAGACAATTTGGTAGCATGAAAAATTCCTTTAAACTCTTAGTATCCCAATAACCACAAGTTAGATATTTATTTTACATAATCAAATTTGAATTTTTTTTCTATTTTTTTTGTGAACCGTGGAGAAAGAGATGTATAAACGCGGCATGAGTTTACTTAATAATATTTGAAATTTTCGGGTGTTTAGTGATAGTATTTGATAGTTTTAGATCAGAAGAAGAGATTCATTACTTAATAATATTTGAAATTTTTGGGTGTTTAGTGATAGTATTTGATAGTTTTAGGTCAGAAGAAGAGATTCATTCCCTTTTAGATATGATCACAAAAACAAAATAAGATTCAAAAATTAATACCTAAGCACCTGTCATGTAATAGCCGCGTGTCCAAGACCTGCAATATACAGTAATTTTTTTTTCAATGGGTTGTTACAAAAAAATGGACAAATAAATAGTGCTTGGTTCTTTTTTCTGGTAATTACGAATTGTTTTCGTAAAAAGATTAAAGCCACTAGCAGATTGACATTCAGAATGTCTTTGGCCTTTTCATGTAATTTTATTTTAGAATTAATATCACCGCACAACGTGCGGGGTAAACACTAGTGCCTATAAATACCCAAATGTGCCAACTTTTGGGAATCTCCTTTTCAATTCAAATTTTAGACTCTCCTAACATAGTATCTCTTAGTTTTTACTCGATTATATAGTTTTGGCTAGGGTTCTCAAATTTGGGATCTATACACTAGCTTTTACTATATAATTGGTTAAGGAGCTCGGACATAGGTTATGGCTTGTGTCCAAGGTGCATGATTTTGGAGAAAACACTAATGCTCTCACTCTCTAATGGAGTTTGGAAGTGTGAAGATGTTTGGAGTTTGGTTTAGCTTTTACTTAGAAAAGGGAACCTTTCCTCAATCTCTTAATCTTTACTTGTGCTTTATATTCTCATGAATGGTTTTTATCCTTAATTATGTGTGTTCATAATGCATAGTTTCTAAGTAGATGAAGAGTATATGTTCATTCTCTTAATTTATGCTTTGTAAGCCATGAGATGTGTGTGATTTGAGTTGAATAATTGGTTCTTATTGTGTTATAGCATACAAGTGAAATGGATCCTTTGACTTGCATGTTTTAGGACCTTTATGGCGATTCTTTATCTTCATAAAGGTAGGACCATAATTATTGGAACTCTTGTAATTCTACTTTAGGTATAAATAGAATGAAGGGTGGATAGAAGATGTTAATTGGTTTAATCTAATTGGCTAAGGTCACCTAGGCATAGGGGGTTAGTCATACCATTCTAAGGACTAGGCATGGAAACTAGAGAAAAAAGCAATATCATCCCTCAATGAAACACCTCTCATTGGTGATTTTGTATGAATTATTGCTAGAGTCCAATGACGAAATATGAAATGCATGCTTGTGTGCTATAGGTTTTTGTGTAGTCTTTGATTACATGGAAAATAACACCACTTGGACTTGAGATTGTAGTAACTCTACAACACAGAAGTGTAAAGAGTGAATCAATGGACTTTAACCACCACACTTAATCTAATGACTAGATGAGATCGAAAGAAGATTTTAGCATTGAGTTCTAACAACTAGGAATAAAAGTTAGGGGTGTAAAAGGCAATAGTTCCGTAGTCTCCAAAATCTTATTGATATAGTTAGGTTGAATGAACACGAGCTTCATCATATATTAGGAACACGTTAGTAACCTTGTTGTCCTTCCTATTGTCCTGGCCCTACTTTCCTTTAGTTATTTTCTTTTCCTTGTTATTTCATTTCTATCTTTCAACTCTCATTTTTGTGTGTTATTATTCTAGTGTGTGAAATCATCTCTTTTCTCAACCCCTCACAATTTAGCACTACTTTAGGAAATAGCCTCCTCGTGGGATCGACCCTTACTTGCACGACAAAACGACGGGCTTCCTCTTAGGTCTTGAGTGCATGCAAACAAGGTTTTTATTATTTGTTTACATGTGTGTAGTTTTCATATACATCCGAATCGCACCACAAAAACCATGACACAGATGCGTTCGTAAAAGGAGTCCAACGATCTGATCAAGAAGATGGAACAAAAGTTATTGGATGTCACCGATTAGCTCAGGATAGATATAGAGATGAGATTGGCTCACACGAACACCGTGCTTGCTGAAATGCGAGAGCAATTGAGGATATTGGTGGCGCTAAATGTTCAAAAGACTAGAGTTCTTGGACCGGAAGGAAAGAAGAATCATTCGGTGTCGGTGAAAACTCTGTTAGTGGAGAAATTAGCTCCGGCAGTTGTTCGAGTTCAACCAGAAACTATCAAAGAAAAGGCTAGCAGACCGCCACTTGATACATATCCAAAAATTGAGCTACCGGCATTCAAAGGTGCACACCCTAGAGAATTGCTACGCAAATGTGATAAATTCTTCTTGCTTTACCAAGTTCTTGATGATCAGAAAGTGGATTATGTGGAATTATACCTTGAAGAGGAGGCAGATTCTTGGTATCAATCCATATGATTGATTCATCCTCAAATTTCACGGAAGGAATTCAGTAGGGAACTCTTGCGGCAATTTCTTTATCTTTCCGAGGTAAATCCAATTGAAGAGTTCAACAAGTTTGTTCAAAAAGGGACGTTACAATAATATCAGACAAAGTTTTAAGCCTTGAGAACAAGAATGTTGATGAATGATCCCAGGTTATCAGAAAGTGACTTTGTTCATAGCTTTTTGAGTGGTTTGAAGAAGGAGATCAAGACAACAGTCAAAATGTTTGAGCCAACAATTTTGGTGACTATTTTCAAATTGGCAAGGCTAAAAACACTTGGAAACCACGTTAAGGAAGAAGAAGACCCCCAATTTCCAGGTATCAAAACCACCTTACTCCTATAATAAGATGGTTGGTGTACCTAGGACTGCTGATAAGTCAAATAAGCCAATTAACAATGATTTGGTTAAGAGATTGAGTCCTGAGGAATACCAGTATCGTATAAATAATCATTTGTGCTTTAAATGTGGGGAGAAATTTGGTGCTGGTCATGTATGCAAGTATAAGCAATTCAATATCATGATAGTTACTGAAGAAGATGAAACAGATAAAGGTGTAGAATTGGATGTTCCTAAACTATTAATTGATGATGGCATTGATTTGAATGATTTACCTATTGAAGAAGGATCTTTACATGTGCTATATGTGGATAATGTTGAGCAAACTATTTTCTTGTTGGGAAAGAGTGAAAGTGACGTGAATATCCTTAGGCCATTAGGGATTATTCCAAGTCATGATGATCACTACATTATTATGGTTATACATGACTTGAATATCTTCAAAATGGTTCATTTGGCAATTTTCGATATCAAAGATGATGGAAGATTGAAACCAAAGTTAGCCGTGCCTAAATCAAGTCGACGGAACTACGCGATCACAATGCTAAAATCATTGATCATGGATATTGGAGCTCAAGAAGAATCGCAAAAGGCGGAAAAAATTCCTTGGATAATTTATTTAACCTTGGAAAGTGTTGAAGTTCATCCATGCGTCGGAAAACTCGTCGAGCGGCAAGGAAAGTCGACAACAAACAAAAGGATTCCGTCAAGCTTTGCGTCAGCCAGCAACCAAGTCCATAGTGGGTCATCGAGCTTTGCATCGGCCAGCAACCAAGTCGACAAGGGGTCGTCGAGCTTTATGTAGGCCAGCAACCAAGTCGACGGCACAATTTCCACTTGTTGGAAATTCCCTGTTTTGGTTTAAATTTAATTTTAATTTGTTTCCTTTAAGTATTTTTGGCCAAAACTTATTAAAATAGGTAATTTTTGGTCTTGTAATAAATATTAAATAATTGTGACATGTGCAATTATTTAATTATGAGATATTTTCCTTTTTTCGGAAACTTCTAGTCTAAGAAATACTACTTAGAGTTCCAATAGGATTAGTACTCTTATTGGCCAACCTAAAGCCCTAAAAAGAGGGTCTTGGCCGTGATTTTATAGGTGTACTTGATGAATTATTATTCAATATAAACTTGTGAGGAAAAATCCTTGTTTCTTGACCTTTTGAGGTTATTTCGGCTTGTGCAAGTATACGGATTTTGCATTAGTAATAAGCGTGCTTTCGAGTTGTGTCTTTCTCGAATAGTGGAGCTTTGTTTGTAGTTTCGTATAACATTATCAAATCGTTTTCGTCATAAGTATTAAGGCGAGGGTTATTTGGAGTGTATCTAAGGGGTCACAAATCGAAACAATTCTCCTTTTCTTTCTTTCATCAAATTCTGTTTGTTTCGGATTTTTGTGGTCCGATTCTTCCTTTTGGTCATGTTTGTGGCTGTCTTGGAGCAAGAATTCAAGTCTTGGGTTTGCTTCCGCGTTTATAGATTATTTTCATATCAATTTGGCATCAGAGCTTTCGGTTCATTGATTTTTTACATGTGTTATATCTAATTAATCAAGGCTCATTTTTGGTTAATTATCCTTGTGTCTTTTGTGTCTTTTTCTTTAAAAATCTTGCATCTTTTGTTTTCTTATAATTCAGCCATAGTGATTTATTGGAGAAAAAGAAAAAAAATTCAATTTGGTGTTGATTTTGGTTCGGCCATGTGTTGATGTGGATTAATCAAATTGGATTGGTTCTGTTTTGGTGATACTTCGGCCATGTGTTTATTAAAAAAAAAAATTATTAGAAGATTCCTGCTTGTTTGGTTATTGTTTGATTCCGCCGCATAGAGGAATATATATATATATATATATAAGGGGGAGTTCACCGGCCATCCGCCTGTTTAGGTACGGTGGCCGGTCACTCCCCTCAATACGTTCTTTCTTCCTCTTTCAGTTTTAACCGCACACGAAATATTTCTTCATTTCTTCTTCCTTCTCTGAGGTTCTTCATTGGTCAAAACGAAGCAAACTCTGTGGTTTGAATTCTGGTTAGCCTCTCAGACGATAAATTCTCCAATTGTTGCATCAAATTGTTGGATAAGCACATAATTTTGCTCCCTTTTTTCATCCCCGTCTTGCAATCAGGAAGTGGTCTTTGTTTCTTTCAGAGTTCTTTGCAATTACGTTCCAGTAAGCCGGCAATAGAGAAAAAATTGGCCTACGATTTCCGCTTTCCGTTTGGATCTTTTTGGAGAAAGCTGAATCTACCGAAGGTGAGTTTATAATTATGCTCTAAATTCTTTGATTTTTCCATTTTCCTTCGGTTTTCTCCTCTTCCCTTCTGAGCGGTGAATGGAAACCGTTTATGCATATAAAATGTTTGATTGTTTTCCTCAAAGAATGTAACCAACACCTTCTCATTGGAAAAACAAGCATATCGGCAATTATTGCTTTTGCTGCGAGAAGAAATTAGATGTTGGTTTTTCATTACTTTGCATATAAGGGTTGGGATACATTAATTCTATTTTATTTCTTTTCATATAAGGGTTTATGCAATGGAAGTGATAAATTGAACCTAGGGATTAGGAAATAGAGTTGTGCTTAGGAATTTATTCTGTTTGAGATTTGAATGTTTTCATGTGTACAAAAAATTCAGTTTGTTTGCTAAATCTAAGCTCATACGTTAAAACTCAATCTGTTAATATGAAAAACTATGAGAGATATTTTCCTTCATTGTTAAGGTTGAGGTAGTATATGGTGTAGACGTGCCCTGGAGGAAGAAATCTCATAGATTCATGAAATTGTAATTGTTTGGATTCCACGTCATGTGTTTGTTTTTTATCGGGTGAGTTGTGCTCATTGTGCAAGTCCGGTACTAAACACGCTTTTACACTATTATTATCGTACGAATTATTATGAGGACTTAAATTTGAATTCCAGTTGCAATCTATATGGGCAAAAAAATCATACCAAGGTCCTGGTTACATTCTTTGTTATTTCCTCCATTTTCTGAATCTATCGAATTTAACCTATTTGAAAAACAGGGACATCAGCAAGTATTACTTTTGCTGCGAGAAGAAATTAGAGGTTAGTTTTCAATTACTTTGTTTTTCTCTTTTGAAATTAGTTAGATTTTTCTAAATCAATTATTTTACGGTTAGTTTTAAATTGAAGTGAAAGATTAAACTAGCTGGTAAAATGATGCGTTTAGTGGTTGATGATGTATGATTATGGGTGCTGGTCTCGAATTCATCCGCTTTTTTTCCCCTTTTGGATTTTAATTTTATTTGATCGGTTGCTTTTGTTGTCCGGAAATTTTTTCCAATTGAAGTTGTATACTATTTGTTTGCTATTTGGCCCGTAAGAAATAGCATGCAGATTGATCTAGAAATTAATATATGTGGATTTCGTTGGCTTACATGATTGCTCTTTTGAGCATTTACATATATTGAAAGGTATTTAGCTCATCTTGGTCTTTTCTGCATGTGGCTGCGAAATCCACTCGAGCATGATCTGTATATATCCTGGAAAAGAAAAAGGAACAGAAAATTATTTTTCTTAAATTTGCCCCCTCCTCAAATAGTTCAAGGGAACGATGTGTTGTTTCCCAAATGACTAAATGTTAATTGGTAGCCACAGGGTCACGTTTAGGTTAAAGAAAATATAATGGAAAACAACAAAAACTTCCTTCCATTTTTTGGGAAATTTGTGGGAGTTTTTAAGCTCACAGTAGGTCAATCTGGTTTCCTTTTTTTTTCGGTCATTTATGCCAAATTTGATGATTTTACTAATTGTGGAACATGTTACTCTTAATCTAATAGCTACCTAACTTGTGTTGTTATGTGAAATGTTTTGGTAGTTTTGGGAGTACTCTGTCTTAGATTGTTAGCTTTACATGGTACGTTGCATTGGTGCCTACAAATATCAACTTTAACTGCGTTAGCTGAAATGTTTACAATAGAAAAACTGTTAGGCACTGTGTAGAGTTGTAGATTTGACCTGCCTAATATTGAGATTATTTTCAACCTAATAGCTACCTGACTTGTGCTATTATTTGAAATGTTTTGATGGTTTGAAGAGTACTCTTTGCATCGGACTATTAGCTTCACATTATACGTTGCATTGGTTCCTATAAATCTGGTTCCTGTTTGTGCCGTGTATTGTTTGGATCATAAAAGTAAAGCAACAAAACTAACTTGTTATGGAGTTGGGATATTTTAATTCTGTTTTATTTCTTTGCATGTAAGAGTTCACGAAATGGAAGTGGTAAATTGAACCTAGGGATTAGGAAATAGAGTTGTGCTTAGGAATTTATTTTGTTTGCGATTTGAGGAGATATATCGCCGGAGTTCGCAATCAGGTTGGACTTCGTTTCTTTGAGTTTTCGCTAATAATTAAAAACTTTTTTTTTTTTTACCGATTCCCAGTGATTGAGGAGCATGGGTAGTCTTCGCTAATAATTAACTCAGGCCTTCCTTTCTCTCTTTTCGTTTTCTTCTTCCATAGAGTTGTAGTCAGACTCCCTTTATCCCAAAATTGAAGTATCTCTTCTTTTCCAGAAGCCAAACATCTCATTTCTTTATTTCTCAATTCAAGAACTTTTAAAATGAAAACTTTTCCTTTGATTTAGAACTGGGATTCAAATGTCAGTGGTTTCGGCAACATTGTTCTTCATTCGGTTCGTTTCGTGTGATTGCAAATTTGGTTTTCCATTGCAAGGGCTGTGTACTTCTTGTCTATTTTAAATTTTAGTTTTTATTTGTTTTAAGTTATTGGTTGCCCGAATTGGATGGATAGACAAAAGGATATCATGTTATTGTTTCTTTTGTGGCCTATAGTTCTTCTCCACTTTATATTTTAGTTTTTAAACTTGTTGGGACACCATGTTACTGTTTGTTTTGTGGTTGAGGTGTTCAATGTTTTGTCTCTATGAGTGCAATTATTATGTTCACTTAAGTTTCCTTATAAATTAAATATAGAACTGAACCTATACTACTCTTTTGTGTTTCAGTGTTGCACATTGTATTAGTTGTTTCCGACTTTTAAGTTCAGGTAGTTTATAACGAATAAGGTACGCTCTTCATCTCCAATTTCGTACTTGTATTTGTGTCTTTACTGCTTTAGTTAATAGCTAGATTTAGGTTCTTTTCACTTTCGTGCATTGCCATTTTCCTTCTGTTATATTTTCATCTTTTTCTCTTTTTTGTAAATTTGTAATTTCCCTTTCGTTTTTATACTTTATTAGTGTATTGCTATCTGTTGGATAAAAAAACCTTAAAAAAAAGAGAAAAAAATACCACGTAAAAAGGTTGAAAATATTACACATTTAGATGTAGAAGAACCTTCATTATCGCGAAAAAGAAAATACTCTTCTTTAGAGGAACGTAGGCAGGTAAAAAATGAACAGGAACGAAAACGGAAAGGAAAACAATTGATTGATGCTAACATAATTCAACCTCCAAACACCAGTATTGATCCATTGGATTATATAGTTAGTTGTCCTGACTTGTTGCCTAATGTACCAAATTGTAAATATTGTAATGCTAAACGTATTTATTCAGAACCACCTGGATTTTGCTGTTTATTAGGAGAAATAAAACTGCTAGGAACTAAAATGCATCCTAGATTAAAAGATCTATACTTAGGTAATTCTGAAGATGCCAAACACTTTCGCGATTGTATTCGAAGCTATAACAACATGTTTGCATTCACATCATTTGGGGCTCATTATCATAAGAATTTATCAAAAAGAGATCATGGTATATATACATTTCGAGTTCAGGGTCAGTTATATCATTTTATGCCTGAAATAGTTCCAGCGAATGGGGAAAAACCCCATAACCTTCAGCTTTACTTTTATGACACAGATCATGAGATTGCAAATCGATTATCAGTTGACCCAAAATTTAGAGAATCCATTATAACAACACTTCTCAAAATTTCAAATAACAACCCTTATGCTACCTTCTTGCAAAATCTTCGTACTGATAATCTTGACGGAGCTAGAATTGTTTTACAAACAGATCCAGTTCCTGATGAGCATACTCTTAATAAACCTATGTCATCTCAAGTTGCTGGAATATGGTTGGAACCTGATGAAGGTCAACTTATTGGAAACCAACACATCCAAATTTATCCAAAAAAGGAAAATAGTCTTCCTCAAATTATTAGCTATTATTTTGGTTGTTATGACCCATTACAGTATCCCCTTATATTCCCTTATGGAGATCCTGGTTGGCACCAAAATATTGTCCGTTTTGATAAAGAAAAGAAACCATCAAACCCTAACCTAATCTGTGAAGGGGAGGGTTTTTATCACATTGAAAACTTTACAGATCTTGAGAATTTTCTACAAGTTGAAAATGAGCGTGCAAGAAACTCAAAAAAGAAACAAAAAAATGTTTCTTGTCGTCAGTATTATTGTTATAAGCTACAAATTAGGGATAATGATGAATCGTTTTTGCTACATGTGGGTAGACTCCTACAATAATATGTTATCGATATGTATATGAAAATTGAAACATCACGGTTACATTTTTTGAGAAGTGATGAAATGCAAACCCGTTTACAAAATGAAATATACTGTAATGTACTTGATAGTATGACAAAAGGGTACAAAACTGGTGCCGAAATTGGAAAACGTGTAATATTGTCCACATCTTTTATTGGAGGGCCTAGAGATATGCGTAAAAGATACATGGATGCTATAGCTTTAGTTCAACGATATGGAAAACCAGATATTTTTTTAACGATAACATGTAATCCAAATTGGCCTGAAATTAAAGCTTTATGTTTACCTATTGATGAAACACAAAACATGCCTGATTTAATAGTTAGAATATTTCAGGCGAAACTTGCAGTTCTAAAGAATGAATTATTTAAGGAAAAAATCTTTGGTAATGTTGTTGCTTACACATATGTGATAGAGTATCAGAAAAGAGGTTTATCTCATGCTCATTTTTACTCATTCTTGATCAAGCATCAAAGACATATTCTTCGGAAGATGTGGATAGAATTGTATGTGCTGAAATACCTGATCCAAAAGAGAATAAATACTTGTTTAACTTAGTAAAAAACCATGTGATACATGACCCTTGTGGAAAACTTGATGAAACTTGTCCTTGCATGAAAAAAGATAGGGGCTATAAATTTAACTATCCAAAGGAGTTTTCAGAGGTTACTGAATTTGGTATTAATTGTTACCCGATTTATCGCCATAGAAACAATGGTCGTTTTGTGGACATTAGGGGTTCGAGACTTGATAATCGATGGGTTGCACCTTATAATCCTTATCTGTTGGCTAAATTCGATTGTCATATTAATGTGGAAATATGCTTAACAATTCCAGCTATAAAATATATTTATAAATATATTTATAAAGGACATGACAGAATTATATATGCTTTGGCCCCAAATGAACAAGAAACTACTGCTAACAGAGAAACCACTATTGATGAGATTAATAATTTTGTACAAGCTAGATGGATATCCGCTCCTGAAGCCGTTTGGCGAATTTTTAAATTGATTCTGAATGACACATACCCATCTGTGATTCCACTCCCAGTTCACCTACAAAATGAACAATCAGTAACATTTCCTGCTCATCAATCATTAGCTAATATTGCCAATAATCCTACAACAAATCAACTATGTTAACTCAATTTTTCTATATGAACAGACATGATAATTACGCTATACAGAAAAAATGCCTTTATGTTGAATTCCCTGAATATTTTGTCTGGAATAAAAAATCGAAACAATGGCAACGACGCAAACAGCGTGACGTAATTGGTCGTATACTACCTTGCCACCCTTCTGAGGGTGAAAGATTTTATCTAAGATTATTATTGCGATATGTTAGATGTCCAACTTCCTTCACAGATTTGAGGACAATTAATGGCAATATTTTCGATACATTCAGAGAGGCAGCACTTACATTAGGATTAATGAAAGGAGATAGTGCTAGTGAAATATGCCTTCAAGAAGCCACAACTTATTTAATGCCTACTGCTTTAAGACAGCTTTTTGCTACTATACTTCTATACTGTGAACCTGAAAAACCTAAAGACTTATGGTTAAAATATAAGGATATACTCTCTGAAGATTTTAATCAAGATAAATCTCTTACAACTAATGAAATAACTCAGAAAGTTGCAAATACTATAACTTATTATCTTTATTTAATGTCCAAGAGACCTGAAAATTATTCTTTCTTACCCAATAATCCACAGACAAGCTTCAAAGATGATTTAGCAAAAGAATTACGTGCTGAAATGGATGTTATAATACCATATGAAGATTTTTTAGCAATTAAACAAGTAAATAAAGAACAGAAAATTGTCTATGATTGTATTATGTATCATGTAAATAATAATATACACAAAGTATTCTTTGTAGATAGTCCTGGAGGCACAGGGAAAACTTTTTTATATAGAGCGCTTCTAGCAACTGTTAGATCTAATAAACAAATTGCGCTCGCTACTGTCACCTCAGGTGTAGCAGCATCTTTACTTCCAGGTGGTCGTACGTCCCATTAAAGATTCAATATTACTCTAGATACGAATGAGTCTAAACCTTGTAATGTTAGTAAACAAAGCACGTTAGCTTACTTATTTAGAACTGCAAAATTGATTATTTGGGATGAAGCTACAATGGCAAAACAGACATTAATAGAAAAATTCGATCAAATGTTAAGAGATATATTCAATCCCAACAAATTATTTGGTGGAAAAATTATTGTTTTCGGTGGTGATTTTCGCTAAACACTCCCAGTTGTTCTTCATGGAACAAAAGATGATGTGATTAATGCTTCAATTTTAATGTCACCTTTATGGAATCACTTTGAAAAGTTAAAACTTCAACTTAACATGCGTGCATTACTTGATCCTGTATTTTCACAATACTTATTAAAAATTGTTGATGGAACCGAAGAAATAAATGATAAAGGAGAGGTTAAAATTCATATATTTTGAAAATGATGAAACATCACTTAACAAGCTGATAGATGCAGTATTTCCAAATATCAATAATTACTATAATAACATATCTTTTGTAAAACGGGCTATACTTACCACAAGAAATGAGTTTTTTGAAGAAATCAACAATATCTTGATTGATAGGTTTCCAAGAGAATCCACAATATACCTTAGTTGTGATGAAAGTGTAAATTTTTGTAAATTACCAAATCAAGAAGAGGTATTTCATTCATTGACACCAAAAGGCCTTCTGCCTCACAAATTAGTATTAAAAAAAATGCACCAATCATACTCCTTAGAAATATAAACCCTACTGAAGGACTATGTAATGGTACACGCCTTATTTGCAAGGAACTTGATCGAAATATCATTTATGCAGAAATTTCGGTTGGCCCACATGTAGGGAAACCGGTTTTTATTCCACGAATAACACTTGAGGCTTCACATGATAGTCTTTCATCTATCCCATTTAAAAGAAAACAATTTCCTATAAGATTATGTTTTGCAATGACAATCAACAAAGCTCAGGGTCAAACTTTAGATTTTGCCGGTATTTATCTGAAAGAACCAGTATTTTCAAATGGTCAACTTTATGTTGCACTCTCAAGGGCAAAAACAATTGAGCAATTGAAAGTACTCATCAGACCAGCGGCACCATTGATACAAAATACCGATTATACAAAAAGTGTTGTTTATCACGAGGTTTTATCTGCTGCTAATACACACTGAAGATCAGCCTCTCAGCTGGAGTGATTCGAATAGGTAAACTTCTACTGTTCTATTAATGATTACATTATTTTAGGTAAAATGCAACCCATCATTTCAGTACAATGTCCCTTGACCACATATGTTTTTCCATCCTTAACTGTGATATTCCGACAATGCTACTAAGGACCTATGGCCAAGATTCATCAGTTTCAGACAATGTTGTTCTTCCAATGTACCAGGGCATCATGTTTCATGGTGGCATAAATAATTGTCCGGTTTGTGGTGGCTCTTTGATGTATAATAGCAAAGAGTATTACTGTAAAGAAGAATTTAATGAATGGTCAAGTTGGACTTATGCTACTAAGGACTCACCAAGAAAAGATGAACCCCTGAAAATCCCTGAATCTGTTGAGAAATCTCCAGTCCCTGAAGTAATATACAAATTATTTCTCTTTGTTTCTACTTCTTGTTGTAATGTATAAAGTCCCTTATAACGGTGAATATGTGACAATCAACATTTTCACTTAATGATTTAGGTCATAAAGACGCATGAGGATCCAAAAAATCAGCGTAAAAGAGAATTGAAACTAGCTGATAAGCCCCCTGCTCAGATGATGATTCCTTATCCAGTCATCTCCCACAATCACACGTTAGTTCTGAATAAGTTGGTTCGCTTATCCCCTTTTCATTCTTTCTGTTTCTTAATAGATTACTGATATGTTATTTATTTGTAGCAAGACTGGAGAAAGCAGATTCAGAAGCATGAGAGAAAGGTTGCAAATCATATCATTGTTCATTTATAATTGTTTATAATTGTTTATAATTGTTCATTTACTAGGTGCAGTCTGGAAGAGGATGGAATGATTTATGCATTACACAACTGTTCATGATGCCTGAAAATAAATTGCATTTCTAGCAGAAGAAGGGTAGAATTAGAGAAGAAACAACACAAGAACTATTTTCGTATTGACACGATATAAAGCAATCTCATAGTTAATGTGTTGCAATAATGTATTTGGAAGTTTTAATGTGCTGATGTATTAGTTGTTATGTTTCTAATATGTTATTTTGCTGTCAGGACTGGTGAACTGGAGCTCAGGCAACTTGGATTGCAGCAACTCATAGTAAGCTTGACCCCATGGTAACTAATTTCATGAAAGTTCATTGCGGACAAGAGATATACATGTTAAACCTTCCCGGATCGTTTGCCCTATCCTAGAGTGGACATACAATATCTGATTCCTTGGTTTTAGGAATGCTTTGATGTAAGGCTCATTCATACTTTAGTGTCTTCTCTGTTTTAGCGGTTCTGGAGAATGACATTTATTATGGTTACTGGACAGGTGAGGAAACTCTTCTAGAATTTGTGCAGAAACTGAAGTCTAGCCCCAGTGAACGAAAGAAATTGCACTGTGGTCTGACTTCAATTCAATATGAATCTTGCACATTAATATTCATTGAATCCATAACATTTTCAGCAATTTCCTTAAACAAGTTGATAACAGATTCTTGGAATGATCGTACAGGCTGCAGCTGCGTTTAAATTGCAAGAGACATTACTACTATTTCCCATATCTTGAGAAGATCAATGAAACTTTATTTCACCGCTATAAGAAATTAGCATGCTCAATTTCCCCGTGGAAAAAGATTCAAATGATTATAAAATGATAGTTGACTGTTTTGAGAAGATCTACGAACCATACGAAGTCAAAGAAGTAGTGAGCTCATTTCAATTCCCTTTAAGCTATATAATCTTGATGGTTTCAGAGTAAATCAAAGAATGCAACATTATTGACATTTGTTTCTATCTTGTAGAGTTATGATTTATCAATTGAAAGGATCTTTGCAGTTGAGCTGGCTAGATCCCCCTCTTTGGAAGAAATCAGCAAGCAGCCAAATAAAGTATTGTTATGGTGTAGTAAGGGGTCAAGTATCCTGCTTAACAAATTGTATATCTTAATTAATGTTTTATCTGGACCATCCTTCACCATTTCTTGTCCACCGTGTTACTACAGTCTCCTCATAGTTATGAGTTGCAAGGCCTCCAGTTAAAGGATGAATTAAAAATCAGTTGCTTCCTCATCACTAGCCTTGAATAAATGACCGAGAATTGCAGAAAATGTGTGAAGTGAATGGTATGTAGTTTTCTGATTAATAAAGTTTTTTAGGTCCTCAAAAATACCTCCTTTATTCCCATGGGATCATCTTGATGTGTTTGTTTTCTTGATAAGCTTTAGCTGCTGTGATTGATTTGAAAATGAGGTTGTCGTTAAATCATGTGATTGTGTCCTTATTTGCAAACAATGTACATTCTTCTCTTACCTATAGTAATTTCCTTTCCTTTCTTCCTTCAAAGAGTTTTTTGTTGCCTCGCCTCATCTTTCTTTCTGATAGGACTGTTTAACTGTTGATACTCGTAGTTTCCTGCCTTTTTCACTTTTGTTTTATGTCTGGGTTTTCTTACTTGCTTGCTTTCCTTAATTAAAGGGCCACACTGAGAAAGTTCTCTTTTACTTTAATTGAAGGAAGAGAAAATGCTGAACAAGTAATGGCTTGTTATGGTACAAAATCAATAATTTACCGGTTATATTGGCAAGAGTGCTGAATTGCTTTCTGTTTTCTTCTTTTTGGTCTTTTTCTTGAGGCTCCGTTTGGTTAGATTGAATTGTAATTGAATTAGAATTATAATACTATTGAATTGAAAATGAGATATTAATATTGCAATTCAATCTTAATTCTTTCGTTTGGAAGATCATAAGAATTGACTAGAATTAAGGTTCTAAAACTAATTCTTGTGTTTGGATCCTTATAAATTTATAAAATCTAGAATTAGAATTAGTTTTTTATTATCTACCTACAATTAAGTATTTTATTTCATTGAATAAAATAAATACTTAATTTTATATATCAAAACAATTTATTACTTACATATATAAGATAACAAAAATAAATTTATCATATTCATTTATATTAGAACTTTTGTTGTTTGAGTAATATATATCAATTTTATAATTTATAGATACATACATATTTGTGGAAAAGCTTTTTTTATTATTACGTAAGCATGAATGTGATGATCGGAATTCTCACAAGTTACATGTAGAACATCCTTGTTCCTCTCCTTTTTATTATTTATAAATTTTTAATCTTTAGTTTTTTTTTTGGATTTTAGTGTAAAATTTTTACATAGTTAAAAGTAAAGACCATTCATTTATGTATAAATTAACATTAATACATGGTGCTAATTAATTATTTTTTATTTTTAGTATATAATTACATATGGAATAATATATATTTCGACTTCTTGAAAGCTTATATAATTTTTAGTGAAAAAAATTTCAAGTATAGTTCAAAATACATTTGATAAAAAAATGTTAACCAATAGTTAATACCATCTATTTTTAAAATAAATTACAGGTCTCGTTATACATTTGATAGTTTTTGTTAAAAGAATACTAATTTTAATATATAGATCTCATTAATAATTATTAATATGATTTACACCTCGTTTGCACCATAAATAAAAACATATGTTAATTTAACAAAATACAAAAAAAGGAAAAAGAAAAAGAAAAAAAAAAGCCCAACGCAACGCTAAAAGAAAAAGGGGGAAAAACCGAAAATGAAAAAGGCAAAAAAAACGCATGTGCAGCGCTACACAAAAAAACAAAAAAAAAAAAAAAAAAACCTCAAACTTAAAAGGACACGTTTTGTTATAACCCGGAAAACGACCCGTATATGACCCGCGTTTTTTCTAAAGCCCCTAGAGTTCGAATTGCAATTATTTGCTCCCACAAAAGAATTGAAAATAAAGAATTGAACCTCATCTTGAATTATAATTCTAATTCTGGAACCTCTATTTTTTCAGCCAAACACAATAATTGGAATTGAGGGCCTCCAATTCCAATTCTTGGGTCCAATTCAATCCAACCAAACAGAGCCTGAATAAAGTTGGTGAAGGAATTAGCTTAGTGCTGGGTTTAGAAAACTTGCATTCTTCAAATGTGGCCAAAGTTCTTCGATTTATCCTTCCCATTTCAGTTGGGAAAACAAAATAACAAATCTCTTATTCTGTATTTAGGAATTGTCCTGAATGTAATCTTTTAAGTGAGGATCTTCTTCAATCTTTTCAATCTCCATCAGTTTGCAAAATATTTTGGATTGAAGAATCCGGATGGATCTTGAACAAGGGAGATTTGGGAGCACTCTTAAGGTTCGGCTATTGGCAACGTCTCACATTTATGGTGCTTGTTTGAGCTCTTACAAGATGATTTTTGTTGTGACTCTGCCCCAACTATTCAATTTTTGTGCAGAAAAATTGTTGGAAGAACACGCTACTGTTAGTCTATCAAAGTCTTGGAGTAATGTATAGCGACCTGGGCATTTCCCCTCTTTATGTGTACAGGAGTTCTTTTGCTGAAGATATTCAGCATTCAGAGACCAATGAAGAAATTATGGGTGTCCTTTCTTTTGTCTTCTGGACTTTGACTCTGGTTCCTTTATTGAAGTATGTTTTTATAGTTCTTCAAGCTGATAACAATGGAGAGGGTATGGCCCAATTACCAAAACAGTTAAAATGATAGAATAATGGTGTTGATAAAGCTCTGTCTACATATAAACTTGAGCATTCTCCTCAAAGAATCAATAGCTCCAAGGTGAAAACTTTTCTTGAAAAGCACAAACTGTTGCACACCGCACTATTCATCTTGGTACTCCTAGGCACTTGCATGGTAATTAGGGATTGGCTACTAACTCCAGCTATCTGGTAAAAAAAAGTTATTCGGTGCTAGATTTTGATGAGTTTTAGATGGTTATTGAGCAATTATGTGACAGTAATCTCTTAATCAACAGTTTTCTCAGCTGTGTCTGGTCTGGCGCTATCCCTGTCTAAAGGTCGGCATCAATGTAAGTTTGTAGAAAGAGAAGCAACTTTTCCCCATAGACAGCTGATGATACAAATTCAATGGCTAATTTATTATTATTATTATTATTATTTTTGTTAAGTTCCTGAAAATGGCAAATTATGCTGTTATGATATGTGTTACTTCTATTTGCCCTTTCTTTTATGTGAACAAAATCTCTAGATTACTCCTTAACAAAGGTCCTAGGGTATGATGGTGCCACAAATATTTCTCTTACCTAATTTAGCTTTCTTCTGGGATGTATGAATCTTAGCTAAGGTGTCTTCGTAAAGTGACATTTTCTTTGACAAAGAAAGAGTGGACCTTTTTAGCTTGGTGAGGTTAGATCAGTGAGAATAACCATAAGAAATTCGCTCTCTCTCTCTCTCTTGACTTACCCTGTTCGGTTTTTTCCATGTGATTTGTTAAAAGTCATGAGTTGTTTGAACTTTGTCATGTGGAAACATTGTTGGAAAAAGTTGCTTGATTGTTCATTCAATATTCTTTTGCTATTTAGGTGGAGCTTCTGCACCAAAAAAAAAAAAGCTAGCTAACTGCCTAGAATGCAATTATTAGTTACTTGCTAACTGACTAGAATAGCTGTGTTTTTTTTCCCTCTCTCTTTGATTGTACCCCAATATGATTATCTTATTTCTCCCTATGGTTGGCTTTCCTCAAAGTTATATATGCCAACAGATAGAAGATTTGGTGTAATGTGTCATGCCAAACTTGTCTTCTGATTTTTTGGCAGTGAGTCAAGTTTGATATTTATCATTTATTTACATATCCCTGCTTATCTTTTATTGCAGTTCCAGTTCATATTTATCATTTGCGTCTTTATCTTTTATTGCAGATGCGGTAATTCCAATCACTTGCTTCCCTTTTGGTTTTCAATATTACAAAAGATTCTGCTTGCATGCATCATGGATAGGTGATATTTCCATTAAACCCAATATTCTGGTAGAACCAAAAGAGTTACAAGCCATGGAAAAGATTACTTGGAGTACTCCACCTTTATTGGTGCTGGTTTGCGAAAATCAAAGAAATGGAAGATTGAGGGAGAACTTGTAGTTTTAACAAACTATATTGTATCTTATCATCTCAATAATTAACTTATACTCAATTGAAAATAGTTGTACTTTATATTAATATCTTTTTATTAAGAACTTCACATAATTTGCTGAATATTATTTTCACTAATTAAAATTTTCCTATTTATCAATATGGAAAAAATACTGGGCTGTCGCTCCCTTTCGCTGCACAACGTGCAAGCCCCTCCCCTAGTGTATATATACATATATATATATATATATGTATAGAGAGAGAGAGAGAGAGAGGGGGAGAGGGAGAGGTATTGTTTGCTTTGTTGATTCTGCCGTGTAGGAGGAAACAATAGAGGTGCTTGTTTGGTTCACATGTTGAGGTGCGAGAGAGAGAGAGAGAGAGAGAGAGAGAGAGAGAGAGAGAGAGAGAGAGAGAGAGAGGGAGAGGTGTTGTTTGCTTTGTTGATTCTGCCGTGTAGGAGGAAACAATAGAGGTGCTTGTTTGGTTCACATGTTGAGGTGCTTGCTTGGTACCTTCTGATTGCTATTCACGTGAGAGAAAACACCAAGTAACTAGGTGATTAAGCATTCTGTTTGGTGTGTTTTCTTTGCTGATTTTGGCCCAAAAAAAATAAAAATAAATAAAAGAGGCCGTAGATTGTTAAAAAGACAAAAAATAGATCGTGAAAAAAAAAAAAGGACTACGTAGTTGCTGAAATTTTGGAGTGTTGGTTTGAAAAATTCCCTAAAAGTTATTAGTTTGGAGATTAGAGTTTTCAAAAATTATAAACCCTAGAAAGTTAAGTTTGGCCGAGAATTAGGGATTACAATCTACCACCCTCGTTCAAATATTTTCGTTTTATATTTTGCTCCACAATTTAATCCTTTCTTTGCGAGATTTCTTTTCATATTTGTGACATTAATAATCTATTTCGTGTTCTTCATAGATTTGTTACAAATATTTAGGTTATCTTTTCGTAGAATTCTTGTATGTTCATTGCTTAGTAATCTCATTGCACAAAGGTTAAAGACTTTAGGACCGTGGTAAAACAAAAGTGAATCTTTTCCCTTACTATATTCTAAACCTTTTTCTGAGAGTTATTAGGTGAGTGTTAGATTAGTTGGGAAGGGGTTTACATAAAGGGAGTGAGTTCTTCAAAATCTTTTTCTTGTGTGTGCGTGTTGGATTTAAAGATATATGAATCCATGGTGAACAAAGAAGAAACACTTTCTTCCGTGGATGTGTCAAAACTTTTGTCAGCCTTGACGCAAATATCCATAAAAGTGGACAAACAAAATGAAGATCTTTATCAAATTCGAAGAAATGTTGTTCAAGGAGGGAATCACAATAGTGCTTGCCTTGGACAAAGGAAGGTAAAATATGATCATGGTATTGATGGTGTTTTCCAAAGGAGTACTTGCTACCAAGAACATGATTATCATGAAAGAGAAATGGTAAGAAGGGTCCAATAATATGAGTCGCTTGAAAAATATCGTACACAAGAACATCAAGGTCCCTTCATACCAAGTCAAGAAGCTATTGCCAAGACAATAATGATTAAAGAAAGAACAAAACTTTTTGCAGCTGAGCAAAAGAGAATTGAAGAAGAAAAAGCTAAAGAAGCTCAAAGAAAGATGAATGCAAGTCTTGAGTATACGAAAGGTTTGGTGCTTGAAGAGCAAAACCAAACTAGAGCTAGAGCTACTGAATTACAAAGGAATGTGCAAAAGAGCTTGAATTTAAAAGGTTTGAGGAGTTGCAATGTGCAAAAAAAAAAGAGCTTGAGTTATAGATGCTTGAAGTTGAAAAAGAGAAGCAAGAATGTGAAAAATGGAGACATGAATTCGAGAACGAGATACAAGATTTTGTGATTGAAGAAAATTTTTCTAACCAACTTAATTCTTTTATTGTTTCTGTTTCTTGTTCACAGCTTGATGTTATAGAAGAGCCTAAATCAATTTATATAAAGTCTGAAATTCAATCACTTGAAGATGTTAAAGAAGAAGCATTGCATCCTTTGACATTGTTTCAAGAAGTTGAACACATTGACTTTGTGTCTGGTGATGTCTTTTCCAAGAGCGAATTGGTTTTCAATCCGTTCAACGATTCTGAAGTTTTAGTTGACCAATGTTCATATGTGAAGACTCAAACAAAGTTTATGAAGACATGGTTCCTTCGGAGTTACATGCAGCAAGATTCTAGGACAAATCTTTTTGAAGAAAGGGGGAGTGACGTGAAAATCCCTAGGCCATTAGGGATTATTCCAAGTCATGATTATCACTATATTATTATGGTTATACATGACTTTAATATCTTCAAAATGGTTCATTTGCTAAGTGTTGATACCAAAGATGATGGAAGATTGAAACAAAAGTTAGACGTGCTTAAATCAAGTCGACGGAACTACCCGATCACAATGCTAAAATCATTGATCATAGATATTGGAGCTCAAGAAGAATCGCAAAAGGCGGACAAAATTCCTTGGATAATGTATTTATGCTTGGAAAGTATAGAAGTTCATCCATACGTCGGAAAACTCGTCGAGCGGCAAGGAAAGTCGACAACAAATATAAGGATTCCATCAAGCTTTGTGTTGGCCAGTAACCAAGTCGACAGTAGGTCGTCGAGCTTTGCATCGGCCAGCAACCAAGTCAATAGGGGCTTTGCATCGGCCAGCAAGCAAGTCGACGGCTGAATTTCCACTTTTTGGAAATTCTCCGTTTTGGTTTAAATTTAATTTTAATTTATTTCCTTTAAGTATTTTCGGCCAAAACCTATTAAAATAGGTAATTTTTGGTCTTGTAATAAATATTAAATAATTGTGACATGTGCAATTATTTAATTATGAGATATTTTCCTGTTTTTGAAACTTCTAGTCTAAGAAATACTAGTTAGAGTTCCAATAGGATTAGTACTCTTATTGGCCGACCTAATGCCCTGTAAAAGGGGATCCTGGCCGTGATTTTACAAGTGTGCATGATGAATTATTATTCAACACAAACTTGTGAGGAAAACTCCTTGTTTCTTGACCTTTTGAGGTTATTTTGACTTGTGCAAGAATAGAGTTTTTGCATTAGTAACAAGCATGCTTTCAAGTTGTGTGTTTCTTGAATAGTGGAGCTTTGTTTGTCATTTCATAGAGCATTATCAAATCATTTTCGTCAATCAAGGTGAGGGTTATTTGGAGTGTATCTAAGGGGTTACAAATCGAAACACTTGTCCTTTTCTTTCTTTCCATCATATTCTTTTTGTTTCAGATTTTTATGTCTGATTATTCCTTTTGGTCGTGTTTGTGGCTGTCTTGGAGCAAGAATTCATGTCTTGGGGTTTGCTTCCGGGTTCATAGGTAATTTTCATATCAGAAGGGAAGGCTATCAGGATTTTGATTGATACAGGGAGTACAGACAGTTTTGTAGATTTATAGGTGGTTAATGACTTTAAATTACCATATGTGGAGTCTAAAATGTTCACCACAACTGTGGGGAATGGAAATAAGGTCTCTGATAACCTTATTTGTCCCAATATGCGTCAGAACATTAAAGACTACAAGTTTAGCGATGGTATGATACTGGGGGTAGATTAGATGAAGCAATTTAGAACATTTGTCCCAATATGCGTCAGAACATTAATGACCTTTGATTGTGATGAAATGCATGTGAGATTGAGTAGATATGGTAGACAGTATGTTCTTCATGGAAGTGGAAGTGTTGCTAGTATGAGATTGGTCAGAGACAAAGGCTGTTATGAGTTCACTCAGGAAAGGAGGGGAAGGTTGATGTCTCTATGTTGAAGTTTCATCAGAGGAAGAAGAAGGAAATCATATGGTTGAAATTCAATTGCCTGATGAAATAAGTAAACTCTTGGATAAGTACTACAAGGGCTTTGAGATTCCTGATTCACTACCTCCTAGCGGAACTGTGGACCATCAGATACAATTGAAAACAGGAGCTCAACCCTCAAAATCCCTCCCTATAGATGCCCTCATGCTCATAAGGCAGAAATAGAACAAGTGGCTGACAAGGCATAGCACAGGTCAACAAAAGTCCATTTGCCTCTCCTGTGATTTTTGTGAAGAAGAAGGATGGAAGCTGGAGAATATGTGTTGATTACATAAGGTTCAATGATCTAACAGTGAAAGATAAATTTCCTATTCCCATTATAGAAGAGCTGCTGGATGAACTCAATGGAGCAACAATTTTTTCAAAGGTAGATCGTAGATCAGGATACCATAAAACTACTTTTCACAGTCATCAAGGTCACTATGAGTTTTTGGTAATGCCTTTTGGTCTTACCAATGCTCCTATAACCTTTCAATCCCTTATGAATCAAGTTTTTAAAGCTCAACTCAGAAGGTTTGTGTTGGTCTTCTTTGATGATATTTTGGTTTATAGTCTCTCCTTTAAAGAGCATTTGGTGCATTTGGAAGAAGTACTCAGTGTATTACAAGAGAATCAACTTTATGCTAAAAGATGCAAATGTGCTTTTGCACAAGAAACTGTAGATTATTTGGGACATACCTTTTCAGCAAAGGGAGTTAGTATGGATTAGCAGAAGGTGGAGTGTATCAAACAGTGGCCTATTCCTTCCACAATTAAAGCTCTCAGGGGATTTTTGGGGTTAACAGGATAGTGTAGAAGATTTATTAAGTAATATGGAATCATTTGCAAGCCTCTCATCAATCTGTTGAAGAATGATGGATTTTGTTGGAATGAAGAAGCTCAAGTAGCTTTTCAGAAGTTGAAGATGTGCATGACTTCTACTCCTGTACACAGACTTCCAGATTTCACAATTCCATTTGTGGTGGAAACAGATGCTGGTGATATTGGCATGCGTGCAGTCTTGATGCAAAAGGGACAACCCATAGCTTTCATTAGCAAGGATTTTGGTCAAGGGAGTAAGGTTTTTTCAGTGTATGAAAAGGAGTTGATGGCTTTGGTTTTAGCTGTAACTAAATGGAAACATTATCTTATGGGTGTACACTTCATAATCGGGACTGATCATCAGTCCCTTAAGTATTTACACGAACAGAAGGTCATTAACAACACTAGACAACACAAGTGGTTAACCAAGTTATTGGGTTATAACTATGAAATCCAATATATGAAAGGGTTGATATGTGTCGAGACCACCAAAATAAACCTACTTAAAACTTATAACAAGTAATAAGAAGGGTGGATCCCACAGAGACGGGAAACACTTAATGAAAATTGGGATCCAGTATGAAAACACAAAACAGAAATAAAAATAGCAGATTGGTAAGTGAGTAAGTGACTTGACAAAGTGATGGTAGCCTAGGGTCGGCCTCCACTCTACTCTATATGCATATGTATTGATTCTCTTAGCTCTCTATGTGGTATGAAATTGTATTCAATCAGGCACATAAACACTGTAAGGCCACTTCTGATTGTTCCAAATAGCAGTCCTAGTAGTAACCAGTAAACTAACTTCCGTTGTCGACTCGAAATTCCTACTAAGCCATTAAGATCTTAAGCCATTATGATTGCCTCATGCCAAATAACTAAGTTCCATTGTTGTTTGAAACCTTGGGCTATTACCCCCTTAACGGTTAATTCTAGATGTTCTAAGTGAAGTTTACCCTTTGGGGATTCCCCCCACATGCATGCACAATTAGTTTGAATGGCATGTTCAACCTAAAAGGATAATTTAAACTCTAGAACTAAGCGTAGAAACATCATCCGAGAGCATGAATAAAAACATAATTATATAGAGAGGAGGGATTAGACCTTGGCAATAAGTTTAGCTACTCATGGAGTGAAGCTGAAACACCATAAAGATCAGGTGTTGACACTCCATCCTGATTACAACAGAAAGGAGAGAAAACAGGGAAAGAGTAAAGTCAAGGAGTGTGGTTAAGTGGAGCTGACTTCGCAGAGTCAACTTCTCACTTTCCCAAGACACACCCCTGATTCTACCTCCCAGAGTTATACTCTGTTTCTTCCTACCAAAACTAAACTACACTACAATCTACTTCTAAGCTGTATTCTGGACTTCGATGCCTTCGTCTTCGTGCTGCTGCTGCCTTTTATAGAGGTTGGGGGAGAGCTCTTGCTTAGCCATGTTGGTCTCCTCTTTTTTGCCCGATGGGTTTTATGCAAAAGAGAGGAGATCCATACTTCTCCCAACTTTCCCCTTACCTTTATCAGAATTAGGAGAGATTTAGATGATGAATTCAGCTTTAGGGCACATCAATCTTCTCCCAATGTCAACAGCATCACTTCACCAACGGCTCTTCTTCCTTAGCTTTGAAGGATTGCTCCAATTCGGCTTTCTTCCCACCGGATTCTTCCTCTTCTCAACGCTTGCACGACCAGTCCCTGTAGCAACTTCCAATTTGGCCCGAAATTTCACTAATTTGCCACATTTTGCCCCATTTTTTGCTTGAATTGCATTTCGGTGCCCTGGACAACCACAAGTCACCAAATTAGCCTATAACTATGTAAACCTAACCTAATTGACCTATACTTAAAGCATAAAGAGGTAAATTGTATGCCTAACAACATAGTACGAAATGCACTCATAAACTCCCCCATACTTGAAGAGTTGCTTGTCCTCAAGCAAACACAACATCTACCCCCCGCCAATACAGACTGAAGAACAGAAAATGAAGCAATTGAAACAGTCAAATTTTTGTCTCAAGAATTGATCTCATCACAGGCTGATGTATACAAAAGTTCAGATGCACTAGAGCAAGTCAAAAACTCACTTCCCTAAGCGCATGGATGACAGTTACGGAACAAAGTGTTGAATTCCATTCGTAGGTTAAGTTTAATTAAGCACAGTGGACATTCCTTGATCTATACCCATTTCCATCAAGTCTGTAACTAGGGTATTCTAACTGAAATTTTGACTAAGGGCTTCCTCACTGTTCTGCAAGCACATTGGCTGCATCATTCACCCTCATACCCTTTTCATTATGTCCATATTGGCTTTTCTTCTGGATCTTTCCCACTCAGGCCTTAGCCAAGCACATTTTTCAGCACTATTTGGCATTCTAAACATTTGTATTTTTCACCTCACAAGGCCCGAGGACACTCCTCTCTTAGGTTGCCATGCCTCACCTCTCAAGGGTTTATAATGCCTTATACTCTGCCTATACTCTCTCAATTAGCTAAACAGAAAACCTGAGATTAATCTGCCTATTTCCCCTTTTTCCGCATGTATTTCAGGCTATTCCAAACCACTATGGGCTCTAAGAGGCTACCATAATACGTAGGATTTTCCTTAATCTCTATCCAGTTTTACAATCCCCCTAGGTTAACAAACAAGTGAGCTCTAGTACAGATCACAACAATGCAAGAAATTTTTCAATTTTAAGCATTTTAAGTCCAGGAACACACTTTGTCAAGCGACTCTGTGACATGAGGAAGTGGAAGCAAGTACTGAGATGATCAAGACAGTTCTGATTAAGTGTTCAGCAAAATTTTGAGATTCAATTTGTTTTCATCATCGACAATTGACTATCTACTGTACATTTTCTACTTTCCTAGACACAGAAAGATAGAAGACTGACTCGATCACAAAGGGAGATATAGAAATAGAACATTAACAAGAAAAATAGAAAAAAATAGGGCAACTCTCCAAAAACAAAGACTCAAACAAACGGAAAATAGAGACACAGAGAGAGAGACAAAGACATAGACTAATTCCTAAACATGGTTGATTCTCTTCACACCC